TTCCCCATCGAAAACCTAAAGAAAGCCTAAGGCAAGCTGTGAAACAATCAAAGAACACGGAGCCTCTGTTTGAGGCGACCCGTCCTTGGGGCCCCCCAGCGCTCAGGACCCCATCTTCGGACCACCGAGACCTGGGCCAGCCGAGACCACGTCGCGAGCCCCGGCCAACCGCACGGTAGCTCCCACACCCGGGCCGACGGGAGGTCAGGGGGAATCGGCTCCAGTGCTTCGGTGGCATCTCATGGGGAGCCTCCATACGCCCCCTGTTCGGCTCTTGCGAATGAACTCGGATCGAAACTACATCGACGCGAACCGGCACTCAATCGGCGCTGCCCCGACTACCATACGCCGATTGACGCTCAGTGTGCACTCTGAAGACGGAGCTGCGAAGGTGTACACAGCTCCCATGACGTGCGACCGAGCCAAGAGTCCAATTCCGGAAACCCTGCATACACACACGGTGACGCCGGACCTCTACCTCCGCCGCCCTCCGCCGAGCTTCCGCTGGCTTCCGCCGGCGGACCCGCGTCCGCAGGCCTTCCGCCGAGGCCGCAACACGACGAAAGGTGAAGCCGCCTGGAGCGCATCACGAGGCTCCCAAGCCCCGGGGCCAGGCAGGAGGGGTCGGAGCGGCTCGGCAGAGCCCCGTCGGCGCTGAGCTCGGGAGCAGCGAGCAGGTGTCCGCCTCCGCGCCCTCGCGGTCTGGACTCCGGGGCGCGATCCCGCGGATGCGCGATCGCACGGACACGTTCCGCGGTGGACACCTGCGAAAGAACGGCCCGCCTCCGCGGGGGCCGCGGCGCAGAGGCCGGGCCGGCGGGGCCGCGGGGCCCAGCCCCGCGGAGCGGAGGCCGGGGGGAGAGGTCGCACGAAGGGGCCCAGGGACACACAAACAAACACACACAAATACAGAGATTCCCCTATATTTTTCCAGATGTTCTGGGTTTTTGTCTTCCCCCCCCCACTTCCCATATTTTCCTATATTGTCTGGGGAGTCGGCGATCAATTGTGTCTGTGTGTTTTTTTCCCTCCTGGTCGCAGTGGAACCGAGAGCCCACCACCGGGAAGTCGGTCTCGGCTTCGTGCCCGTGCCGTGCGCGCAGGGCGAGGCGAAGCTGCGCGTGCATCGCGAGAGGAACGGCCCCGCCGTCGCTGGGGCGACTCGGTGATGCAGTGCACCGCCCCTCCGCCCCCGGTGGGCGCGCGTTGGACCAGGGTTTACCAGCCTGGAACATGTCCCTATCCCTACGCTGGGCATCGCCTCATCACAATGCCAATCTTAGGGATTCCCTCAGGTTTCAGGGCGCATCCCTAAGATTGTCATCGCCTTTTGGCGTGTCAATCTTAGGGATAGGGATAAGTTCGAAGCTGGTGAAGGGTGTCCCGCCGTTGTGTCCCGGAGTGTCCCGTTGGTGTCGTGTCCCGTTGGGGTTCCCGTGGGTGCTCCGTCGGCGGTGGGCGGTGGCGGTGGCGGTGGCCGGGGGTGCACCCTCTCTTGGCATCGATAGAGAGAAGTCGGCAGTGCGATCGAGAATGAGATGGCTAGGACGTGATGGATTGTGAAGTCACAGGTGAGATCGACAGCGAGTTTGATGTTGACTTTGGCTGCGAGATCGACAGTAAGATCGACATCGAGATCGATAGAGGAATCGGTTGTGATATCGGAAGCGAGATCCATCGTGAGATCTATGGTGAGATCGACAGTAGGATCGATCCAGTGAGATCGAAGGCGGGGAAGATAGTGACATTACATCACAGCGCAACAACACATCGTCACCAACATTGCCATCACCACACCCATCGTATTTGCCAGCAACTGATTATGTCTCCCCCACATCCCCCACCCTCCTTCTCACCCGAAGGGTGGCTCGGATCGTCCTAGAGGTGGTCGGAGTAGATGGGGTCGGAGAATTGCGCAGCATCGGCTATGCATCAGCGATACATCGCCGATGCATCGGCGATGCCTCGCCCACGTCGGGGAGGCTCTGGCGCCATCGGCGTGGAGAAAATCGGGCTCAACATCGAGCCGCATCGCTGATGCACTGGCGATGCAGCGCGATCCTCCGACCCCATCTACTCCGACCCCATCTGGGAGGCCTAGATCATCACCCGAAGGGTGGTGCGTAAAGGTACGGATACGTTCTTCGGCCGCGATGGCCCCTGCTACCCCACGAAACTGCTTTTCTTCTGCGCCACAAAGATATTCGGGGGACCTCTGTCCCGTCGCGCTCCTCTCTGCAACGAATCCGTGTCGACTCCATGTCGGACTCGTCGAATCCGTGTCGACTCCGTGTCGGATTCCGTCAATTCCGCGTCGAGTCCGCACCGAGCCCACGTGGGGCACCAGAAAAGACACCGATTTGGGGGGACAGACTGCCTACCAGACCACCCCAACCCAACCCGAAGATCCGAATTTCGGGCTGGGGGGGGGTACGGGCTCCATATGTGTTTTCTCAATGTTCCCTGCCCCCCCCAACTGGAAATGGAAGTCAATTTGAGGCATTCGGGTTGGGTTGGGGTGTTTTGGTGGGTGGTGAAAACAGACGAGGCCCCCCGAAGATGCAACAAACATTAACCTTGCGAGGACCTTCCGCCCGCGCGGAGCACCAGGGAACCGACACCGCTTCTCCACGGATAGGGGGCCACATACGAACCCTACCCCTACCCCCCACGATTTCTGCGGGGGAGGGTGGGGTTCACTTCGCTCGGGAGCTCCTGAGCGAAGTAAACCTCACCCTACCCCTCAGAAATCGTGGAGGGTAGGGGTAGGGTTCGCATGTGGTCCCTAACGGACCTCTTTCGAAGTGCGCTCCGACCAGGCAGATCCAGCCGTGGCGACGAGGGATGGACAGCGGCAGTGGTGCCTTCTCTTCCTGTGGGCGTCACCGCGGCGACGCCGACGGCGAACCCTGCTCAGGATGGACGAAGACTGCAGCTGGACTCCGTGCACAGTGCTTCCGTACCCATCTCGATCGTCCCGATCCGTCAGCGCGGACCCCCGCGCCATAGAAGAAGAAAAAACGCCAGAAACATAAACGTTTGGCGCTCCGCGCGGATTTCTTGGATCTGCGCTGGACCCCCCTCCCCGGCGCGTTCCGCGCGCCAGGGGCGGCGCTGGAGGCGCCGCCGGGGGGGCAAAAGCGCGGATCCAGGAAATCCGCGCGGAGCGCCAAAAGTCCATGCTTATGGCGTTCTTGCTGCTCCGACCCCAGGACCCCTCCACGCCTTGGATGGGGGCCAGTCGCGGTGGTGACGACCGACCTGGCGCGAGGGCCGCGGTGCATTCCTCGCTTGGGGCGAGCAGAGGCAGGCCACCAGCACCGTCTCGTGCATGATGCAGTAGATGGGCCGCCCGACCTCGCGGGGGGCGTGGGAGCGGGGCCAAGCCGGGCAAGGCAGGGGGGAGGAAGGAGGGTGAGGAGGAGGAGGCGGACGAGGAGGAGTTGGAGGAGGCGGAGGAGGAGGGGGCGAGGTTTGAGGATCGAGGCTATTCCTGGACGTCCCCTTGCCTCTGTGAGTCTGTGAGCCTCCCGGGGGCCGCCTCCTCGTCGCGGGGGGGGGCGGGTCGGGAAAAGCGAAGTCGGGCTGCTTCCATGAAGAAAGCTGCGTAAGTAACGAGGCCTTGTTTGCGAGGCCCCAGAGGCGCCTGGATGCACGATGAGCGCCAGATGCACAGCGCTTGGACGGACAGAAAGAACCACGAGCCTTCCTTCCGACCCCGAACAATGCCGCCGCGGCGGAATTACCCTTCGGATTCTGGCGAGAACGCACCCCGTGAGATATCCGGGTGTCACCTGCCTGGGCCGCCATGACGGTTGAGCAGGGACCGACCGTCCTGGCATTCCTGTAGGCAAACCACGACACTATCTTAGAACCCAAACAATTTCTAAGACAAACAACCGTGTGTTCAGAACATAGAGCCGAGGTGCTAACACACGACAGCCCCAGCCATGCATATTATGAGAACGTGTCGTGCAAACCACTGGAGGTTCTTAGCGCATCTTGAGGTGGGCCTATAAACGAGCCGGGACGCTTCACCACTGCTTGACATGAAGATACAGGTGCAGCCATTGGCGGCACTCTTGACAGCCTCTGCGGGCGCTCTTGGACCTCGCTTGACGCCGTCTTGGAACATCTGAGGCCACTTGAGGGCGTTCTTTGCCCATCTTGGCACTCCTGGAACCGTTCCCGAACCCTGGAGGAGGCCTCTTGAGCTGTCTTCGGACGACCTTGCAGGGATCTGGCGCCGTCTTCGAGCCATCTGAGGGCATCTTGGACTCCTCTACCTCCATTGTTTTCGTCGTCGCTGCCTACAGGGTCGGCGGCATCGGCCGTAAGGCCTTCGCAATAGACGGGTCCAGGAAACAAGGGGTCCTGGAATCCCACCAGCCCTCTGGGAGTATGTGGTTTAGGGAGTTTCCTCTTCCAACCTCCTTCTTCCCCTTCGGGGAATGGTTTACCCCTCCCCCTAATCCCATTCCCTGGACCTGGACGGAGGGTTTCGCGAGGTGTCAGGGCGTTCAAAGCGGCCTCGTCGAGGAAGCCAAAATCAATAGTTTTAGTAAGGTTGTGGCCCCATTTTGGCCTCCTGATGGGGGGGGGAGCCAAATTAGGGACCCCCCTCTCCTGTGACCGATCCCGCCCAAGATGGCCCAAAGATGGCCCCCGAGGCTCCCAAGGGTGCCCCAAGAGGGCCCCAACAGGTGGCCAGGAAACCCCAAGAGGCCCCAACGATGCGCCCAAGAGGCCCCCTAGAGACCTCCAAGAGGCCCCACGAGACCCCCCAGAGGCACCCAAGATGCTCCAAGAGGCCTCGGCGAGAATGCCAAAATCATTGATTTCACTGAAGTTTTAGCCACATGTTGGCCTCATGGGAGGGGCACTGATTAAGATGACTGCAAGAGCGCCTGGGAGAGTCCAAGATGACCTCCAAGATGGCTCAAGATATCCCAAGATGTCTCAGAATGGTTCCCACGATGCTCCAAGATGCCCCAAAACCGCTCCAAGACGGCTCCAAGAGGCCAAAACCTTAGGAACATCTATGTGTTTGGCTTTCTCGCCTTTTCGCTGCCGATGGCCATCCGAGGCCTTAATATGGCTCCAAGATGGCCCAAGAGGGCCCCAAGAGAGGCTCAAGAGAGCCCCAAGACGGCCCCAAGAGCGCCTAAGAGCGCTCCAGGAGCATCCCAAGAACGCCCCGAAAAGCGATTGTTACTGTTAAGGCTCCCGAGGGACAGCGCTAACTAATGTTCGCTGTTTGTTTAATCGATGTCCTCGAAGATGGCCCCAAAAACGCTCCCAAGGCTCCAAAGAGCGTTTCAGGAGGGCCCCAAGAGGCGGCCAGGAGGCCCCGACAGGCGCCCAAGTGGCCTCCAAAATGCTCCCAAGAGACGCTCTCCGAGGCACCCAAGACGCTCCAAGAGGCCTCCACTGGGGGACCCTTCCTCTGTGTGCTGCCCACTTCCCTGATCGAGGCAATTCCTCTGGGCATCGTTTCTGAATGGGCTGGTGGGGTTACTTTTTAGTCAGCGGCCGCGGGCGAGCGCGCCGGCGGCGAGTCAGGTCAAAGTGGGCTACGCAGAGACTAACTAGGCAGAGGAAGCGCGGGAAGGGCTGGTGGGGTTATTTTTTTTGGTCGCGGCCGCAAGCGAAGGCGCAGGCGGCGGGTCGGTAAGCCCGGGGCGCGGTCCTTACTAATTTACAGCGAGCAGCAAACTGGAGCGCGGGGTCAAAACTGCCTAAGCTGCCAGTTTTGCGACGAGTGCACGCCCAATCCGCGTCGAGTCCGCACGGAGCCCGCGTCGTGCACGAGAGAAGACGCCGAGTGTGGAGGCAGGCGAGGTCACTGGAGGATGCATCAGCCGTTTTCCTTAGGACCCCCCCCCCGTTCTTCATGGCAGGCGGAAGGCGAGCTAGTATTACGTCGGGCGTGTCCCCCTACAGGGGGATTTTCGACGAAAAATGCAAAATACCCCCCAAGATAATCCAATGATAGCCGGAGTGCAGTATCCCCAAACAGGGTTTTTTCAACCCACTGCGGGTTCCAAGGTCGATCGCCTGCCCGTCCAGTGCGGGCTGGCATGGCATGTTAGAACATGGCAACATGATGTTTGCACATGAGATGTTTACACGAAAACTTGTGTTGCGCATTCCTATCGGGAAGCTAACTCTGGGGACCTCCTGGGGCTTCCTCCTGGGCCTCCTGTGGCCTCCTGGACCCCACCTGGGGCTTCCTGAAGCCTCTTGGGGCTCCCAGGGGGGGATATCTAACACGTGGCCGCCTGGGCCCCCCAAAATGGGGGGGGAGGCACAAGAGCAGGAAAAATCAACGAATCGACACCAAATGTGTATGAACTTGACACGGGTTGATAAGGGGGCCTCCTGTGAATCTCCTGGGGACCCCTGGGGCCTGTCCTGGGCGTCCTGCGGCCTCCTGAAGCTCTCTGGGGCCTCCTGGGGCTCCCAGGGTCCCAGGGGGGATATGTAACATGTGGTCTTCTGGGCCCCCAGCTTGGACCACCTCTTGCGCGGCATCTGGGAGCTTAGAGTTACGAGAATGTCTTGCGCGAAATGGGCCGGACAACCTTGCGCACGGCATCTCAGAGCTCAGAGTTGCGAGGATGTCTCAGACGAGACGGGCCGGACCACCTTGCGCAGGGCTCTCAGAGCTCAGAGTTGCAAGGATGTCTCAGGCGAAACGGGCCGGACCACCTCTTCCGCGGCAGCTCAGAGCTCAGAATTTCGAGGATGTCGCAGGCGCAACGGGCCGGACCACCTCTTCCGCGGCATCTCAGAATTCAGAGTTTCGAGGACTTCTCAAACGAAACGGGCCGGACCACCTCTCGCGCAGCATCTCGGAATGCAAAATTGCGAGGATGTTTCAATTGAAACGGGCCAGACAACCTCTCGCGCGGCATCTCGAGGCTCAGAGTTTGGAGGATGTCTCAGGCGAAACGGGCCGGACCACCTCTCGCGCGGCATCAGGGAGCGCAGAATTGCGAGGATGTCTCAGGCGAAACGGGCCGGACCACCTCTTCCGCGGCATATCAGGGCTCAGAGTGTGGAGGATGTCTCAAGCGAAACAGGCAGGACCACCTCTTCCGCGGCATCTCAGAGCTCAGAGTTTGGAGGATATCTCAGGCGAAACGGGCCGGACCACCTCTCGCACGGCACCTCGGGGCTCAGAATTTGGAGGATGTCTCAGGCGATACGGGCTGGACCACCTCTCGCGCGGCATCTGGGAGCTGAGAGTTTGGAGGATGTCTCAGGCGAAATGGGCCGGACCACCTCTCGCGCGGCATTTGGGAGCTGAGAGTTGCAAGAATGTCTCAGGCGAAACGGGCTGGACCACCTCTTGCGCGGCAACTCAGAGCGCAGAGTTTTGAGGATGTCCCGAGCAAAACGGGCCGGACCACCTCGCGCGCGGCATCTCAGATATTGAAGTTTGGAGGACGTCTCAAACGAAACGGGCGGGACCACCTCTCGCGCGGCATCTCGGAATGCAAAGTGCGGGGATGTCTCAAGTGAAACGGGCCGGACAACCTCTTGGGCGGCATCTCGAGGCTCAGAGTTGCGAGGATGTCTCAGACGAGACGGGCCGGACCAGGACCACCTCTCGCACGGCATCTCGGGGCTCAGAGTTTCGAGGATGTCTCAGGCGAAACGGGCCAGACCACCTCGCAAGCGTCATCTCGGAGCCCGGAATTGCAAGGATGTCTCAGGCGAAACGGGCCCGACCACCTCTCGCACGGCACCTCGGGGCTTAGAGTTTCGAAGATGTCTCAAGCGAAACGGCCTGGACCACCTCTCGCGCGGCGCGGCGTCCCGGAGCGCAACTTTTCGAGGATGTTTCAAGCGAAACGGCCAATCCCGGCCAACTCAGAAACGAGAGTTGTGAGGATGTCTCAAGCGAAACGGCCCGGACCATCAGATGGTTGTGAGGATGTCTCTGCTCCCCTTTCCCTCGGCCGGAGTTAGCTTCTATCACAACAGCACCCCGTCCAGCAAGCTGTTTGGGGAAAAATAATCAAAAAGTAGTCTGGGTACTATTTTTAGTATTGTTTGACCTTTTTCGTGCATTTTTGGGGTATTTTTTTTATTTTTCGTCGAAAATCCACCTGTAGCGGGACAGGCCCGACTTAAAGCTAGTCTGAGGCTGGAGTTCTCACATGCCGCATACCTCATAGACCACACTTCGGGTGATGAGCAGGTCGGGTAGAACTGGCATTTCGATGAGCATTTCGGTGTGTGTGTGTGTGTGCTGAGATTCGAAGTTAGATTGCGGTTCAGATGATGGGTCACCACACGGTAACACGTCACAGCACATACGACACACCAATCATCAAAATATCGATCGGCAACACGATCGACCTGCCGATGTCATTACCGATATAGATAACGAGATAACTATAGACTGACCTTTCTGGATTTCGGCCTCAACAGCAATGTAAATCGTAGATGTCAACATCTGTCTACCGACCCCGTGGTAACCGTCGAGACGCCGACGGGGCCACCGCCAGATGCCCGCGGCGTGGCGCGCCCGTGCGCGCCTTCCCGTGCCAGGCCCCCTGCCGAAGGTCGAGGCAATCCGTACTCCTCGGGATCGGCAGGGGCCGCGCGACGGGGGCTGAAGGGCGCGGGGGGCGGGGGGATTACGAGGAAGGGGCCCAGGGACAGACACACACACACAAAGACACAGAGAGAGAGAGAAGGAGAGAATGAGAGAGAGAGAGAGAAACAAACACACTATACACACAAATCCCAGGATCCGAAATGTTTTCTCACATGTTCTTGATGTTTGTCTCCCCCCAACTCCCCCTTATTTCCCCATCTTCCCCTGGGGATCAACGATCATTTGTTTGTGCTGTTTTCCCATCTCGAGCTTGTGAGGAAGGGGGTGGTGGGCGGGTGCGTCCTGCATGGACGAGGCGAGCGTGCCCAACCATACGCCCCATGCGACCTTCCCAGGTGTGCCTGCGTGTGCCTGCGCCTGCAAATGTGCATGCATGCTGACAGCTGCGTTCGCGGTTGCGCAAGCCCCGTGTTCAATGCGCGACGCCGTGGTCAGCATCTGTCCGCTCAGTCGCATGGCCCGACCGAATCCAGCAGGCCAGCATCCTCTACGCCAAGCCTGTCGACACAGGACGCCGTGGCCTCCCGGCAACAAACACTCCGAAGACCACGACCTGTGGCAAACTGGCGATACAATGAGAAGGCATGAGCCACTCAGCACCTCCACTTCCCCTCATCCCTGTCCAGACTGTCCAACCCTTTCACCAACTGCCCCATCATCTTGCGCGGATGTCCTATCCCTCGTGCCACCCAGGCATGGCATGCATCGCAGGATCCTGAACAGGAACAACCGGTCGATGCCCACCGACACGACCGCCGGATCTATGTTCCTCCATTCCCCATGCTTGCTTCTCCTCGAAAGTATCTCGCTCCAAGAGAAGCCCGAATCCGCCAACGCGCCGCAGGCACTGAACGGAGCGTCCCCAGGAACCGTCCTGAGTATTGAGACTAAGTGTTCTCTACCTCGCGGGGCCCGTTGGACTTGTCGCATGACGTGCCCCGAGGCTAGGAAATACCAAGACAGCCCAAGAGCGCACAAGAAGCCCATCAGACGGTACAAAAGGCCGACGAAACGCGCCTGATTGACCCCAAGATGACCACCAAGAGGGTCCCCAGAGGCCCAAACCTTTGGATTCCCAACGAGCAGTCTGTGATCATTTAGCGTTCTGACTTTCTTAGGCTCCCGACCGCCCGAGAGACGGCCCAAGATGTTACAAGATCGCCCCAAGACGGACCAAAACTGCCTTCACGAGGGCCCCAGGGCAGACCAGGAGGGTCCGAGAGGCCCCCAAGATGACTCCAAGGGCCCCGAAGGGGGGCCCCACCGCAGGCCGAACGGGAGAGAGTACCGCTTGCCCCCGAGACCGCCAGCAGCAGGCCCGCGAAGGGGCCCCCAGAGGCCACAGTACGCTCCGAAGAGGTCCCCAAGAGGCCCCAAGCTAGGGGAACGAACCGTGGCATAAACATAAAAAAAACTCGGAGGGCCACGCCGATTTCTCGGATCGGCGCTGGACTGGACCCCCCTGGCGGCGCCTGCGGCGCCGACCCTGGCGCGCTCCGCGCGCCAGGGAGGGAGGTTCAGCGCCGATCCGAGAAATCCGCGCGGACCGCGGACTTTTTATGTTTATGTCAGTGTTCGCTCCCCTAAACAATACCTTCGAAAGGTCCGCGAGAGGCCTCTCGAGTCCCCAAGACGCTTCTCAAATCAGCCCCCTGTCCAAGACGCACCCACGGTGGCGGCCTTGACCAGGGCAAAGAAGTGGACCAGCGCCAAAGAGACGGGTCCTGTAGGGAGCTAGTTCTGGACCAAGGCGTTATGATGCTCCCTTCGTAATCAAGGACCCCATCCCAGAAATAAATTCGAGCACCCCGAAAAGTATCGAAAGAATATCGAAACAGTGTCGAAACAGTGTCGGACGAATGTCTCCCAGGGCCTGGCGCGCGAAAACCCGAGAGTTTTGGGGTGTTTCTCTGGCGCTCGAAATTCTGTATGGTGGTCAAGGCCAAAGTGGGTTGGAACATCATGCCTGGCGTTCACCAGGACCGATGTTTCACCGCATCGTGCTTTGGCTGCCCTCTGGCCCACAAAATAAAAAAAGAGCAGGACGCCGAAGTTCCGTGGAGGAGGGAGCACTGCATTTGATGGGCATGCTTTCCACCACCACCACCATAAGTTGGAGGGTGAGAGGTTCCTCCTCCTCCTCCTCCTCCTCCGCCTCCTTCCCCCTCCAACTTATGGTGGTGGTGGTGGAAAACAAACTCATCAGCATTAACAGAAACTCCCGGCCATTCGCGCGGATCTCCTGGATCTGCGCTGACCCCCCCCCGCCCTGGCGCGCGGGGCGGGGGCCCCAGCGCAGATCCAAGAAGTCCGCGAGGAGCTCCGACACCACATGCCCATGCCGTCCTTCTCTCCTGGAGCAAGGGCAGAGGACGCCAGACTTGACTACCTACCAAACCCCCCCAACCCAACCCGAAGACCCGAATTTGACCCGAATTTCGGGTTGGGGGGGGTACGGGTTCCATGTGTTTTTTCGACGTTCCCCGACCCCCCCCACTGGAAATGGAGGGCAAATTGATGCCTTCGGGTTGGGTTGGGGTGGTCTGGTAGGTGGTGAAGACTCAAGACCTGCCCTGAGGGCGTTACCCTCAGGACGTCATCCCTCACCGTCCGCGGGCGCTGCCGCCTCCTTCCCGCTGCCAGTCTTCCCCGCACGGGCCAGCAGAGCCGCAGCTCGGCCGACACCTTCTCTGGCGGGGCCACGGGGTGCACGAGGGCCCCTCACCCTCCGAGCTTCTCCAAAGCGGCCCAGCACTTTGCTCGGAAATGGGCGGGACAGCCCAAGACTTGGCACGCTCGATACAGTGGAGGCCAGTCCACAAGAAACCTTCCAAAAGAAACCCAACCCTGAGACCTCAGGACGTCCAATGATTTTTGGTGTGGGAGCGTCACGATTTCCATAGCAGAGCCATCGCAACCCAGGGCACCCTGGAGGAACGCAGGGTGTTTCTTGGCATGGGTCTCCACTGAACAGACAACGTGGGTACGATGCCCAACACCAAACGGGGTCCAAAACCGACAGAGGGCCGCTGTTGGGCGGGCGGCCTTCTGTCTAGAGTGGGCAGCGCCCGCGACGACGCCGACAGCGAGCCCTGCTCAAAATGAACAGGGGATCGTGTCGGCCTTCGTACCCTTTTTTTGCCCGTGCCCATTAAAGAGGCCCCAGGCCACACAAATAAATAGACACAAATAAAACAGATTTCTCATATTTTCCCGTATTTTTTGTGTTGTTTGTCTTCCCCCCCACTTCCCATATTTTCCCATGTTTTCCTGGGACTCGACGATTAATTGTGTCTGTGTGATGTTTTGCCTCCGTGCCCATGTCGGTCGTACCGATGCACCACCTGGGGACGGACCCGAGATGGCCCAGCGCTGTGGGCTGGCCGAAGAGCAAGTTCCGAGCGCCGCCGCACGCGTGCGCGCACGCGCAAGGCGCAGCTTTGCACCTGGCGTCGCTCTCGGCTGCGCACGGTCGCTGGACGCAGCCCGCCCCCCTCGACCGACGCTGCCGTTTCTGAGAAACCCCGTGGGTTCGGCCGTCTTTGGTGCGGTGGGGCCCCTTCTTTGATATATCGTTCGCGAGAACGCCCGCGGCCGGCCCACCCCCCCACCCATCCCTCTTTGGTCATGTCACGACTCACGCCGGCGCCGTCCAGAAATCAGCCATGCTCAGGCATCCCCACATGACCCAAGCGCGAATCGTGGCGTGACCGACCCCCCCCCTGCCATATTTTCCCACATGTTCCTGGGAGCCGACGATTCATTTTTGGACGCCCGAAGTGGGCATGGAAAGAATGGGCACAATGCCCAACAAAAAACGTTGTCTCAAACCAACAGCGGCCACTGTTGGGCAGGCGGCCTTCTGTCTCAAATGGACACTGGCCGCGGCGACACCGACAGCAAGTCCTGCTCAAAATGAGCAGGAACTGCTGTTGGACATCGTACCCATTCTTTCCGTATCCAGTTCGCTCGTGCCGATCATTGTGCCCGTGCTTTCTCCCCTCCTGACACTCGCGCCTCCCGGCGAACGGCCGGGGCCCTCGCCGGCACGGGGCGCAGCTGCGCACCAGTCGGCAGGCGGCTCCACCTCCGCGCGGCGCACTCCTCGACAATCGAGTGCGAATTGTCCTGTAGTCGTTGGGTTTTCATCTTCCCCCCCCACTGCTCATATTGTCTTATATCTTCTGTGGAATCGACGATTCGCTGCGTCTCTGTGTCGTTCCCCTCCTGATGAAGCTTGACCCTTGCCGGTCAGAAGGTATGAAAAACCCGCTGGGGCTCAGAAGTCGACAGCTGCCTGCAGCCGGGCGGCCAGCGACGTGTGGAACCGCAGGGGGTGGGGTAGGCGGTCACAGACTTCCTCCACCTCCCGCCCCTCCCGCTCCCGATCCTCCTCTCGCTTTTCTCTTCCTCCCTCGCCCCTCCTCCGCCCGGGCAGCGCTGGCGCGCGACGCCGCCGCGTGCCCTCGTCATCCACACAGACCACGGCGCCAGAAACGGTGACCGTCGTCCCGCCCCCATGGATACCCCGGCCGAGGATGTCTGCACTGCGCCGCCGGTGCCCAGGCTCCTAGGGCGGAGGGTTGCCAGGCACTGGCCGCCAGGGCCGCAGGACTTTGTCGGAGGACTCCCCACCGCGGAGTCCCCTGGACAAGGAAGGAGGGGCTGCTCGTCCTCCTCCCGCCTCAGAGCCTCCACCACATCCAGAAGTGCCTGAGCATGGTTCGACGACACTCGCCGAGGGGAGGCGGATAGAGAGAGGATGGACGAGGCAGAAAAGCCGCAGGCTGCACAAGCACCGCACCCCGTGCGCGCAGCTCCGCAGGTGTTCGCACACATGCCGCCTGCTGCTCCTGCAGCAGAGGGGAGGTTGGGAAGAAAAAGAGGCGGAGCTCATTGCCACGGGACGCGCGTCGGGGCGGCCTGCTGTTTTTTTCTGCATGCGCGAAGCATCGAGCATGGGCGGTGCCCTGGCACGAATGAGCGCTCGCTGCTGCGCGCTACGGCTGGCACGGCCGTGGAAAGCACGAGAGACGCCTCGAACTCCCGCGGCGCGACGAAAAACGGCATGCCCCCAAAGGGGGCAAGGCCCGCGGTCCTCTGAAGCTGGAGGGCCAAGAGGGTGCTGCGAGGGGCTCGACGCATGCACCAAGCCGTCCGGTCGAAGGAGCTCGGCGCACAGACACCCAAGCTTCCCAGCCTGTGGGTGCATCCGGGTCTACACACCGCATTGGCCCGCCGAGTTCATTGGCTCCTTGGCCAGCCAAACGACGCGGTGCATGCATCGGGCACCTCTTGGGGGAGGGGGGGGGGGCGTGGGCAAGCAAGCGCGGCCTTCAGGAGGCAACTCCCTCGAGGGCCCAGAGGTGCCAACCACTTGTTACGTCGCCTCGCGGTAGAACCAGTCCGCACGCTCGCTCCGCTCAGGCGGCCTGGGCAGCGAGACAAGCGAAACATCTACCGGCGGCCGGGCGAAGGGAAAGACAAGCGAATGCGGCCGCGGGGGGGGGGGAGGGACGAGGAGCCCATTTTCCACCACCGCTGCCATAGATGTCGGAGGGGGAGGGAGAGGCAAGCGAGGAGGAGGAGGGCCTGCCCATCCTCCCTTCGCCCCCGCCCTACCTGTGGCGGCGGTGGTGCAAAATTTGCCCCTCACGGGAGAAAGGGAAGCAGGGGAGAGGGCACTCACACGGCGAGGTGCGTCGCCGCGGGGACGGCCAGGGGCGGCCAGCAGGGTGCTGCACCCCCCGGCAGCGGGGGGCGCGGGGCGGCATCGCGGCCCAGGAAGAGAAACGCATGGCGGAGCACAACCAAAGCGTTCCCGGGAGCGGGGGGGGAGGAGTTGGGAAGGAAGGGTCGGGGGCGCGCAAACACGGATTAGCGATCCATGGATTTGGTGCGCGGTCGCCTCATCCATGGATCGGGAGAGGTGCCCTCCCCCCAAAAAGGGGGCCGGAGCCGCCTCGTTCGGCGGCGGAACTCCGCGATTTCCCGTGGAAGCGGGGACCGTCGCTAATCCGTGCCCCCTTCATCCATGTTTGCGATCGCCTGAAGCTCGAGCCCTGGCGGAGGGAAGGGGAGGAGGGAGGAAGAGGAGGAGGAGGAGGAGGAGGAGGAGGAGGAGGAGGAGGAGGAGGAGGAGGGAGGAGGAAAAGGATAAGGAGGAGGAGGGGAGGGAGGAGGAGGAGGAGGAGGAGGAGGAGGAGGAGGAGGAGGAGGAGGAGGAGGAGGAGGAGGAGGAGGAGGAGGAGGAGGAGGAGGAGGAGGAGGAGGAGGAGGAGGAGGAGGAGGAGGAGAGGAGGAGGAGGAGAGGAGGAGGAGGAGGAGGAGGAGGAGGAGGAGGGAGGAGGAGGAGAGGAGGAGGAGGAGGAGGAGGAGGAGGAGGAGGAGGAGGGGGAGGAGGAGAGGAGGAGGAGGAGGAGGAGGAGGAGGAGGAGGAGGAGGAGGAGGAGGAGGAGGAGGAGGAGGAGAGGGAGGAGGAGGAGGAGGAGGAGGAGGAGGAAGAGGAGGAGGAGGAGGAGGAGGAGGAGGAGGAGGAGGAGGAGGAGGAGGAGGAGGAGGAGGAGGAGGAGGGGGGCGAGCACGAGCGACGGAGGCTGGCCGCCTGCTCTCCCCCATCCCACCTGCTGGCAGGGGCGGGGGAGGGGCCTGGGGATGGTTCCGAGGCATGGGGAGGGCGGCGCTGCCAGCGGGAATCGGCAGGGGAAGGAGGAGGAGGGGGCGGAGAAAGGAAGGACGGAGGTAAGAAGCTGGAGGAGGAAACGAGGAGGAAGAGGGAGGGACGAGGGAGAAAGACGAGGAGGGGGAGGGGGGGCGTTAAACTGCTGGACAGCAGATCTTGACCCAAGCCACAACAACGGAACGTGATACTCGTAAACCCGACTGGTCGTGTTCAGCCTGGGAAGGGGCAGGAGGAACGGAGGCGGGAGAGAACGACGAAGGGAAGGACAAATCAGAGGAGCTAGATGAACTGGAAGGGAGATGAGAGGAAGAAGACTAGGACAGAGAAACGAGGAGGAGAGAATGCGGAGGGGAGGCGGAGGAGGAGGAGGAGGAGGAGGAGGAGGAGCAGGGAGATACGTGGCAGCTCCAGTCATGGATCTCATTGCCATCAGCGCCAAGCGCCAGGAAGAGGAGGTGGAGACAGAGGAGAAGGGAGAGAAGAGGAGGAGGAGAAGAAGGCGGAACGGGGAAGGGAGAAGAGAAGGCAGAGGAGGATAGAGAGAGAGAGAAGACGGGAAACACGAAGAGGAAGAAGAGGAGGAACGCAAACGGGATCGGGGAGTGAAAGGAAGGCGGAGATAAAAGAGAAGGGTCTGATGGCCTCATCCGGACCCCCCCGGCCCTCCACGGGTGGCTAGTCGAACACGGGGCACAGGCACCAGCGAGTGAAAACTCCGAGCTTCAAACATGCGGTCCTCTAATCTCCACCTCTTCCACCTCCACCTCCTCGAATATCCTCCTCCTGATTTGATATCCTCCTCGAATATCCTCCTCCACCTCCTCCTCAAAATCTCCTCCGCCTCCGCCTCCACCTCCGAGGCCCCCCTCCCGACGGCGACAGCGCCATTGCAGGGACGCAACAGCCGCAAGAACCCGACCGACCGAAAAATGCTGCAGACTGCGACGACAGCGAAGCGAAATCGAGAAAACCGTTTCTCATGTTACGGCCAGGAATGTGTGCCAAGAAGCCTTGCTCACCGTACGGTCCGGAATCCCACCAGCCCTCTGGGCGTAGGTGGTTTAGGGAGTTTCTTCTTCCACCCCTCCTTCCCCTTCGGGGAGGGGTTTATCACTGTTCCCTATTAATATACACCCCCTCCCCCAGGCGACTGGGAGCCAACCCGAGTCGATGAGGACACCCCCACACCATCCTTTGTAAGAAACCATACAAACACACTCTGCATCCCAATTCCGAACATGCGCAGCAAACCCGATGCGGCCTCCCCCCACCATCCCTGACAAAAAACAATATACAGTACACTTGGCGGCGGCGGCGGCTGCGGCGGCTGCGGTGGGGGCAGCGGCTGCGGCGGCTGCGGCGGCTGCGGCGGTGGCGGCGGCGGTGGCGGCGGGGGGCGGCGGCGGCGGCGGCGGCGGCGGCGGCGGGCGGCAGCGGTGGCGGCAGCGGCTGCGGCGGCAGCGCTGCGGCAGGCGGGCGCGGGGCGGCGGCGGCGGCGGCGGCGGCGGCGGGCGGCGCGGTGGCGGCGGCGGACAGCGGCGGCGGCGGCGGAGGCACAGCGGCGGCGGCGGCGGCGGGCGGCGGCGGCGGCGGGGGGCGGGGGCGGCGGCGGACTCGCCCCCAGTAGCTGCCCATCCAAAGACGACTGCTGCATACGCTGCGGTTCGGGCCAGGCTCGGGTGCTACGTATGCTGGGAGGGAGGGTGGGAGTGAGCGAGACGGCTTGCGGGGGGGGGGGGGCGTCTTGACCCCTCCCCCGACCCCCCCTGGACCTGGACAGTTTTTTTTCCGCGAGGTGTCAAAGCATCCAAAACGGCCTCGGCGAGGAAGCCCAGATCATTGATTTTACTTGGGTTTGGGACCCATCTTGGCCTCCTGAGGGGGGGGCCCTAACTAAAGCTCCCCCCTTGTTTGATCGATCTCCTCCAAGATGGGCGCCCAAGAGGCCCCAAGAGGTCCCAAGATGGCCCCAAGATGGCCCCAAAAGGCCCCGAGAAAGCCCCCAGAGATCGAGCGCGTTCCGCGAATTCTGTTTTTCACTCTTGCTGCCGCCCCAAGGAGTCGACGGTGCGGCTTAAGCCAATGAATCACCATCACCATCATCATCAACAGCATCATCATCATCATCATCATATTCATCACCAACACCAGCAGCATCATCAGCATCGTCACCAGCATCATCATGATCATCACCGTCCCTCCTCCTCCTGACCAGCCGCAGCATTGTGGCCGTCGTCGACATAGTCTTCATCGTAATCACCATCATCAGCAGCAACATCATCCCATCATAAAAGGCATCATCATTATCAGCAACAGCAACAGCATCAACATCAGCATCATCATCATCATCATCATCATCATCATCATCATCATTACCCTCATCATAGACGTCATCACCGTTAGCATCATCATCATCATCATCAGCATCATCATCATCATCATCATCATCATCATCATCATCATCATCATCATCATCATCATCATCATCAGCATCATCATCATCATCGATAATATCAGTATCGTCGTCGTCACCGTCATTGCCGTCGTCATCGTCCTCGTCCTCATCGCCGTCGTCGTCGGTGTCATCGTCATCGTCATCGCCATCGTCAAACTCCGTCATCGTCATCGACATCGTCGCCATCATTATCATCATCGTGATCAGACATCGTCTCCCTGATCATACCACCATCAGGTCATCATCGTCACCATCATCGTCGTCGTCATCATCATCAGCATCAGCATCAGCATCAGAATCAGCATCATCATCATCACCAGCATCATCATCATCATCATCATCATCATCATCATCGTCATCGTCATCAGCATCATCATCAGCATCGTCATCATCATCATCGTCATCATCGTCATAATCATCATCATCAGCAACAGCAACAGCAACAGCAACAGCAACAGCATCATCACCCTCATCCTCATCCTCATCCTCATCATCATCACCCCCGCCACCATCACCATAATCATCACCACCACCACCACCATCATCATCATCATCATCATCATCATCATCATCATCATCATCATCATCATCATCGTCGTCGTCGTCGTCGTCGTCGTCGTCGTCGTCGTCGTCGTCGTCGTCGTCGTCGTCGTCGTCGTCGTCATCATCACTCTCCTGTCCCTTCCGCGCCCTGTCCATCCCATCCTCCTTCACTCAGTCGCCGTACACTTCCTCCACTCCCTCCTCCTTACTCCTCCTCTCCTCCTCCTCATCCACCCCCATCCCCCTCTCATTTCCCTCCCCTCCCCCTCAGCGACTCTCTGATCCCCGTCGCCCTCTTCCTCCTGCTCGTCCTCCTGCCGATCCTCATGATCCCCTTCATCCAAATGCTCCTCACCCTCCGACGTCGATTAGCAGATTGTTTGATGAGGGCGATTAGTCTTCCCCTCCTCATCGTCAAATTCCTGCTCAATGACATCACAACCATCATCAACCTCTTCGAAATTTCCGTCATTCCCTCCTCCTTCCTTGTCATCATCTCTCAATCAAAGCGTCCACCCTTCTCCCTCAACCTCCTCCTAATCCCTTCACTTCCTGCTCCCACTATCTTCAGAGGCCAGAAAAATGCCCGAGACATCCGAATCCCTCGGCCTTGTCTCCTGCTGCTCCTCCTCCTCCGCATCCTCCTCCTCCTCCTCCTTCTATTCATTCCTCTTCCTACTGGAAAAATAACATGTAAGCACCGCTGCTCACCGGACCTCTCATGGTGTGTGCTCTGACCTCTGACTGGGACTCCGAGGCGAAGCCAGTCGTATCGGCGAGGCCTCTCCAGGAGGCCCAGAAAAGCGAAGACGAGGGAAAGGCTTCGGTATCGGTGCGGCAGGTTCGTGCCGCGACGACCCTCACGATGGTTTCTGACACCACGTGGATCCTTCAACATCGAACGACCGAGGCTTTACCGTAAAACCTCGATCGTTCGAGGTTGAAGGATCCACGCTAACGTAAATACGTAATCCGAGCTCTCGTAATTCGATCTATCGTTATTCGAGCTAGCGTGATTCGAGGTCGAGGTTTTCCGAGCTGTCGCTATACGATGGCTCGGAACGCTCGATGTCGACGACTCTGGCCAGCTGGCGGCGCCCAACCTCGAATTCGCCCTCTCTGGGATCACCGCCGCGCCTGGGCGCGAGCCTTGACGTGAGCTCTTCTTCTCTGATCTGCTCCCCCCTCCTACAGTTCAGTCGGGCCTGTCCCTCCACGTCGAGCAGGGACCGACCGTCCTGGCATTCCTATAGGCCTACCACGAAATGTTCTTAGAACCCAAAAATGTTCTAAAAACAAAATCAATGTTCTTGAAACGGAATACCCATGTGTTAAAACAATACAGCCCCAGCCGGAAATGTTCTAAGAACATTTCGTGGAAACCACAACAAGTTCTCAGAGCATGGTTTGGGGCCGAAAGGCACGCCGGGACGCTTCGCCACTGCTCGACTACAGTCGGACCTGGGCCAGAAAAGCATCCCCCAAGAACACGAGACCCTCCGCCGCCCAGAACACACAGAACATCCAAGGGTACCCTCCACAGGGTGCACAAGAACATGCAACAAACACTCGCCATCGCTCGGACGTCCATTCACTGTGTATTTTTCGATTTCGTGCGTGTATTCTTTCGTAAGGTGACCCACAATGCTCTTCCCCCCAAAAATGTACAAGTCCGAGCGATGCCAAGAACACGAAGACCGCTTGGGTATCCTCCCCGAGCCGATCTCGATCCTGTGCCTCGGTCCGACCGCACTCCCCCTATCCTGCTCTCCCGACGAGCTCACGTCGTCTAGCTCACCTCGGTGATCAGGCCCTGACCGATGGTCTTGCCGCCCTCGCGCATGGCGAAACGCATGCCTGGGGGTGCACGCGCCGCCGCGGCCGCCTCCCCGCTGCCCTGCCTCCTTCTCGTCCTCTGACTCTTCCTTCACCCTCGTTCTCGACATCCTCCTCCTTCCTTCCTGTCACCTGCTTCCTCCTCTTGCCGCATCCCTCAAGCACGTGGTCGTCGTCGTCCTCCTCCTTCTCCTCAATCTCCTCGTCTTCCTCCTCCTTCTTCTCCAACCCGAATGCCCCTCGTCCCCCTCCACCACCACCACCTCCTTATCCTCCTCCACCACTCTCCTCCTCTTCCTCCTCCTCCACCTCCCTCCTCCTCCATTCTCCTTCTTACTCCTTCTCTGGCCTGGCGACTCCAAACATCGCATTGTCCGTTCCGTGAGTTTCTGTCTCTGGGGCGCCAGTTTCTGTGCCACCGGGCGTGCACAACAAAAGCTACTTGGGATGAGAGGTCTGGAGGGAGGAATGGAAGGACGCAGAGGGGAGTAGGGCAATGGAGGGATGATGCTGAGAAGGACGATGAGAGAACGCGGACAAGGAGAGAGGAGAGGGGGATGATCGGAAGGAACATGAGAAGGATGGGTGGGTGGAAGAGGCTCCTAGCCCGACCTCATCATCCTCCCTTCCCATCCTCCTCCCCACTGCTCACGCATGAACCGCTCAGGTCGGGCATGTCCCCCTGCAGGCGGGTTCTGGAGGACAAATGAAAAACAGTCCAAAAATGCCCAGGCAGAGTCAAGAAATAATCAAAACATCGTCTCGAGACTGTGTTTGTACTATTTTGGGATATTCCCCCTGTAGAGGGACAGGCCCGACTTAACACTGTGCCAAGGCCGTGCCCTCCTCATCCTCCTCCTCTGCGAGATGGGAGTGGGGACGGCGTGTGTGCAGAGAGGGGGGTTCTCTGAGTGCCCGTCTCGATCGGGGTGGCGGCGATCAGCTCGCCCTCGATCGTGACGTCGTCGCCGGGCATCGCCATCTGCACCGCATTCCCCTCGGAGCTCGCCATGGTCACCATCTTCCCAGTGACGTCGCAAGTGCGGAAGTAGAAGACGGGCATGTAGCCGGGCATGATCGGGTTGCTGCGGCCCCCCTCGTCCTTGCTGGACAGGTAGATGTTGGCCTTGAACTTGGTGTGCGTCTTGGTGGCGCCCGGGGCGCAGATGACCTGCCCGCGGGAGATGTCGTCGCGCGACACGCCGCGGCACAGCACGCCGACGGTGTAGCCCGCCGGGCCCTCGGGGAGGTCGGTGTTGAACATCCTGATCCCAGTAACGACGGACTTCTGTGCCTTCTTGCCCCTGCCCAGGATCTCGACCTCGTCGCCCTTCTTCACGACGCCCTGCTCCACGCGGCCGGTGGCCACCGTGCCGCGGCCCGAGATGGAGAACACGTCCTCGACGGCCAGCAGGAAGGGCTTGTCGGTCTGGCGCTCGGGGAGGTCGATGTACTCGTCCACCGTGTCCATGAGCTCCAGGATCTTGTCGCACCACTTGTCGTCGCCGCGCTTGGTGTTGGGGTTCGCCTTCATGGCCTCGAGCGCCTGCAGCGCGGAGCCCTGGACGAAAGGCACGTCATCGCCAGGGAAGCCGTACTGGCTCAGCATCTCTCGGGTCTCAAGCTCGACGAGCTCAAGCAGCTCCTCGTCGTCCATCACGTCCACCTTGTTCATGAAGCAGACGAGCTTGGGCACGCCCACCTGCTTCGAGAGCAGGATGTGCTCGCGGGTCTGGGCCATGGGCCCGTCGGGAGACGAGATCACGAGGATGCCGCCGTCCATCTGGCAGGCGCCCGTGATCATGTTCTTGACGTAGTCCGCGTGGCCAGGGCAGTCCACGTGGCAGTAGTGGCGCGTCGGCGTCTCGTACTCGATGTGCGAGGCGTTGATCGTGATCCCGCGGGCCCTCTCCTCGGGGGCGTTGTCAATCTCCTCGTACGACTTCATCTTGGTGTCCGTGCTCGTGTTGAACTGCGAGCACACCACCGAGATCGCCGCCGACAGGGTCGTCTTGCCGTGGTCCACGTGGCCCACCGTGCCGAGGTTGACGTGGTCCTTGGCGCGCCTCGCCACCACGGCGGCCCGGGGCCTCCCCGCGGACTTGCGAGACGCGGCCCGCAGCGCCAGCGCGGCGCCGGCCGTGGCGAGGGCGAGGGCGCCTCCCTGGGGCCCAGGCCCCTCGGGCGTCGCCGGGCGCACGGCGGCGCCGCGGGGCGGCGCGTGCGCGGGCTCCAACACGGCCCCGCCAGCGGCGCCCGCCGCCAAAAACGTGGTGCCGGCAGCGAAGGCCATGGTCCGGTTCCGCCCGCCTAACGCGAGGCTCGGGACGAAGAGACACTGTCCGCGCTGGCCCTGAGCCAGTGCTTGAGCCAAAAGGCTACGACGCTTTGCCGCTGAAAATGCTTCGCCTGCTCACTCCAACGGCATTTTTACCTGGGCCCCGAGAGCCCCGATCTCAGGCGGCCATGTCTTCTACATCGCACGCGGCTCACACGATTCCCCTCACACCTCATGCATGCCATGTTGCATGGACCGCCCTTGAGGGAACGTGCATGTTTGGTGTCCGTTCCACGGGAGCCTGCGTGGCCCCTGGCGCTGTCCGATCTGGGCTTGGTTTGGACCGAATTTGGAAACATGTGGCACCAGATTTGGACCGCATTTGAACCAGATTCGCACCTTCACGGAGGAGACGAAGAGAACGAGGAGGGGGGGGGTAGAGCAGGAAGGGCGAGGGGGAGCGGGAGGAAGGGCCACAGGCGGCCCAAACGCGGTCCAAATGCAGGTAAAACTAGCTTCAGTGTCGCCGCCCACGGCTCCCATGAACGGACATCGAATGCATGTGCTAGAGGACTGGTTCGAGGTGGAGGGCGGAAGGAGGGATAATGGAGGCGGCCGACCGCGGACGCCGTGCTGCCACCCGGCAGCCAGGAAGCCTACGCCTCACCTCCTGGTCACTTTGATGGGCCTGTTTTACACTACCATCACCATGAGTTGGAGGGGGAGGGGGGCCCTTCTCCTCTTCTTCCTCAACCTCCTCCTCCTCAACCTCCTCCTCCTCCTCTTCGTCTTCCTCCTCCTCTTCCTCCCTCCAACTTATGGTGGTGGTCGTGGCGGTTGTGAAAAACAGGCCCATCACACTTTCCACTCCGAGCAGAGCACCTCTCCTGATGGGCAGCACTACGCGCAGGCGGTTCTAAGATGCCCCACTTCCCCTACTGCCGCCGCTGAGCCAGGGCGCAAGATTGTCCCACATGGACGCCACGTTTCCGTTTGGGTCGCTCTGACATCGACTACGTACTTTTACCTGCGCGAATGAAACATCAGGCATATCCGCCGCCCTCGCACGAAGAACGCTCGCTGCTGCGCGCTACGTCTGGCGTGGCCTCGCCAACGCCTCGGCCACACGGTGCGAAGAAAAACGATATGACCCCAACAGAGGCATCAGACACTGGCGCGTGAAAATTCAGAACTTCATCTGCGTGGCCTCCTCCACCCCCCACTTCGAAACTCGATTCATCTCTCTCCTCCTACTCTCCCGCCGAGCTCACGTCGTCTAGCTCACCTCGGTGATCAGGCCCTGGCCGATGGTCTTGCCGCCCTCGCGCATGGCGAAACGCATGCCCGTCTCGATCGGGGTGGCGGCGATCAGCTCGCCCTCGATCGTGACGTCGTCGCCGGGCATCGCCATCTGCACCGCATTCCCCTCGGAGCTCGCCATGGTCACCATCTTTCCAGTGACGTCGCAAGTGCGGAAGTAGAAGACGGGCATGTAGCCAGGCATGATCGGGTTGCTGCGGCCCCCCTCGTCCTTGCTGGACAGGTAGATGTTGGCCTTGAACTTGGTGTGCGTCTTGGTGGCGCCCGGGGCGCAGATGACCTGCCCGCGGGAGATGTCATCGCGCGACACGCCACGGCACAGCACGCCGACGGTGTAGCCCGCCGGGCCCTCGGGGAGGTCGGTGTTGAACATCCTGATCCCAGTAACGACGGACTTCTGTGCCTTCTTGCCCCTGCCCAGGATCTCGACCTCGTCGCCCTTCTTCACGACGCCCTGCTCCACGCGGCCGGTGGCCACCGTGCCGCGGCCCGAGATGGAGAACACGTCCTCGACGGCCAGCAGGAAGGGCTTGTCGGTCTGGCGCTCGGGGAGGTCGATGTACTCGTCCACCGTGTCCATGAGCTCCAGGATCTTGTCGCACCATTTGTCGTCGCCGCGCTTGGTGTTGGGGTTCGCCTTCATGGCCTCGAGCGCCTGCAGCGCGGAGCCCTGGACGAAAGGCACGTCATCGCCAGGGAAGCCGTACTGGCTCAGCATCTCTCGGGTCTCAAGCTCGACGAGCTCAAGCAGCTCCTCGTCGTCCATCACGTCCACCTTGTTCATGAAGCAGACGAGCTTGGGCACGCCCACCTGCTTCGAGAGCAGGATGTGCTCGCGGGTCTGGGCCATGGGCCCGTCGGGAGACGAGATCACGAGGATGCCGCCGTCCATCTGGCAGGCGCCCGTGATCATGTTCTTGACGTAGTCCGCGTGGCCAGGGCAGTCCACGTGGCAGTAGTGGCGCGTCGGCGTCTCGTACTCGATGTGCGAGGCGTTGATCGTGATCCCGCGGGCCCTCTCCTCGGGGGCGTTGTCAATCTCCTCGTACGACTTCATCTTGGTGTCCGTGCTCGTGTTGAACTGCGAGCACACCACCGAGATCGCCGCCGAAAGGGTCGTCTTGCCGTGGTCCACGTGGCCCACCGTGCCGAGGTTGACGTGGTCCTTGGCGCGCCTCGCTCCCACTATGGCAGCAGAATGCTGACGGCAGGGGGAAGCACGACACGACGACGATGACGACCCATACCTCCTCC